ATTTAGTACACATAAGTACGAACTTCCAAAGCTTCCTACATACCCCAATTTTACACTCTACACAGTAATCCCAATTCCAAATTTTAGGGTTGGTTCGCCCAAATATAAATTGTACTTTATATAGTACATTTTTGTGCATATACAGGGTGAGATGAAAAAAACTGGAACCAACTTCAGACCTACAGTCATTTCCAAGCCACTCGTTCGACAGCTGTTAAAATTATTCCAGTGACAACTCACTATATTGTTTACACGCGTACAAAAGCTTTTTAGTGAGAATCTCCCAGAAAAAAAGTTATTCGTGATGGAATTCAAGCGTGATAGTGTGATTTCTTTATATTTGGCTGGAAAACCACAGGTGGCTACAGATAGAGCACTCCAGCATTTAAATGTGAATAAATCTTTGGTGTCTCGTACCATCGCTCGTTACCGTGAGACTGGTAGTGTAGCTCGACGTCAAGGAATTGGACGGAAGAAAACAGCAACATCAGCAGAAATGGTTCGAAAAGTAAAGAAGTGACTTGATAGAAAACCGCTTCGCAGTGGCCTAAAAATGGCTCGGAACATATCGCAATATTCCCCATTCGGCAAATATTGAAAAATGAGCTCGGGGTAAAGCCACTGAAATTCCAAAAAGTGCAAGAACTTACACCGCAGCAGAAAGAAAATAGACTCAAAAGAGCTAAGGAGTTGCTTCGCTTGGCCGAAAGTGGTGAACTGACGAATTTGGTTTTCTCCGTCTCCGATGGAAAAACATTCGTTGTCCAGTAATTCGTAAACAAACAAAATTACCGTGTTTACTTGCCAAAGAGATCAGCTGAACTCAAGCGGCGGCCATGGTGATGGTGTGGGCCGCCATAACAGCCGATGGTCGCTCTCCGCTCGTATTAATCGACCGTGACATCAGAAAAAATGCCGAATATTATTGCGAAAATATTCTGGAGGGTGTATTAATGCCATGGGCACGCAAATATTTTGGCCGCAGACCAAGGACATTCCAACAGGACTCAGCACCATCGCACTAAGCACGCGCCATCCAAGAATGGTTACAAAATGAGGTTCCTCCCTTCATTGCCACCGCACAATGGCCACCAAAATCTTCGGATACCAATTCGTTGGACTATTGTGTCTGGTGTATTTTGGAAAGCTAGGTTGGCACTAAAAAATACCAAAGTGTCGATCACCTCAAGCAAGCGCTTCGCCGGGAATGGACCAAAATACCGCGGAGCACCATTCGGACAGCGTGTGATGGTTTCATTGGCCGTTTGAAGGCCATAATTGGTGGCAAATGTGACCTATTCGAACAAATCTAAACTTATTCTAAAATTTCATGCTATTTCCGATTTTTTTTTGCTTCCGTTCAAAATAATTTAAAAAAAAAGTAAAAATACTGGCGTTTGACTTTGTTGCAGTGTTTTATTTCACCCTGTTATATTTTTGATCATCCTTTTTTACAAGCGAATTGAGATAGAAGGCTAAAATTTACATTAAGTTCGTAAATGGGTCATGCAGATTCACGTTTTCATATAGCCCCCATACAACGGTATCTCCCAATATTCGGCATTTGATGATTAATTTAGCGATATTTTTTACCGGAATTATTTTTCGTATTTAAACTTCGTAATGAGTACTACAACCAATGACAAGTAATCGCGTATGCAGGTCCACGTCTTCGTAAAGCCCACATATAATGATACTTCTCCATATTCGATAATTTGATGATTTTAGCAACATTATTAACCGGAATTGTTTCAAATTTCGTAGTTCCCGTTCGTTATGGGTACTACAGGGTTGCCCATATTCGACGGACTTTAGGGCCCTTTGGGCCCATTCCAATCGACGAGGCTTGTCCGCAGGCAACATTCTTTGCATCAATTGAATTTTGTACTGGATCAAATGCAAATCAATGCAAATAATCCGTTGTAAAGTTGACCGAGCCATGCCCAACTGCCTAGAACGGCGTTTTTGGGATGTTCTTGAGGACCTCTCAACACTGACTCCTACGGCAGCGATATTCTCGGCCGATCGCCTTGGTCGACTTTTATATGGCCTCTTCGGATTAGAAAGAGCCTTACCAGTCGAAAATTTTTCGTATAAGCGCTTAATGGTGTTCTTAAAAGGCGCACTTCTCACATATTTTAATGTTTTAAAATCTGCTTGGACTGACGCTTCAAACGCGGTATGTCATTAAGCGATGTGACATCTCTGTCAAAAGTAATGGCGTTGCCAGATGGGTCCGTCGAATATGGGCAACAATGTATGACATAAATGTGTCTATGCAGGTCCACTTCTTCGTGTAGCCCACCCATATAACGGTACCTCCCAAAATTCGGAATTTCGATGATTTTTAGGACATTTTTACCTTTTTTTTAAATTTTGTATTTAAAGTTCGTAATGAGTACTACAACCTGTAACAAAAAATCGAGTATGCAGGTCCACGTTTTCGTATATCTCCATAGCTCCTAATATTTGATGATTTTAAGAACATAATTCACCACAATTGTTTCGAATTTCGTAATTGAAGTTCGTAATTGGTACTACAGCCTATGACAAAAAATTACTTATGATGGAGCACATCTTCGTATAGCCTCCATATAGGGGGTACCATTTGAGAGGTATTCTTTTACGGAATTATTTTGAAATTTTTCAAGTTCCTTTAAAGGCTGCGTTTTTACTTGTTTACCCTCAGGAAAACTCCAGCTCGAATTCGAGGGATTTTCACTCTCGACTCGGACCGAACATTTCGGAGCTGCGATCGTAATTAAAAGGATATAGAAGGGTTCAGTTGCATTTTCAACAATGTCTACAGTAGTTTGGCGTTTCTTAGTTAATCCTTCTTGTAAACAATTGCCAATGTAGACCCGCCGATTTTTAATATGTATGTGTATTTAACCAAATTTTGGATTTTAAAGATTTTTTTTCCAAAAATGTTTCCATTTTTGTTCAGTATATAATGTTTGAGATTCCATCGAATCGAAATAATCACTTCGCTTGGAAAATGTAACCAATACACATCTTTCTCCCCGCTATGAATCACATAAAATGAGTCAGATTTTTAAAAATCTGATTAGCCATAAATCTGTTTCGAAAATTTCATTTGAAATATTTCTCACTCTCTCAAATTCTTTTTGTTAATAGTTTCAATTATTTTAATATTTTTTAGGCCGAAAAAATAGTTGAAGCAAATTCCTCCAGTGTTCAAAGGAATTCCTCCAAAGGAAATGGATTGGAATTTCACAAATGTTGTTGCTAATTGAGCGAAAACATGCTTCCGAAATTATGCTATTATTGCGGGAGAGCGTGCAACAAATGGTTTGCACATTTTTGCGCCTCATGAAATAGGCGATTTTAAATCATAAAGATATGCCCAGGCGATTTACACAGGCGGCATAGGCGGGCCAGTGGTGGCAGTTCCATGTGGGGGTGGGGGAGATGTAGTAGCAACAAAAAATGTTTTTTTTTTTTATTTTGGATATGCTGAAATTAAGACTACACAGAACTAAAATTAAATTCTTAAACGAAGCAAAGAACGAACACTTCACAAATGTTTTCAAAATTTTGTAGAAATTCTCCTCGAAAACAGAAAACATAAAAATTTAGTAACCCACACTCGATTTGTTCGATGGCCTTCAAAAAATGAATAATTCTATGCCAGTTCCAGTCAGGCATTGCAGTGTGGATTTCCAGAAATAAATTTCCAAAAAAAAAAAAAAAATCTCAATAAATTCCCACATGTGTTCCGATTTGAGATCATTTACATGCACAAGAATTTGAAATTATTTACAAAACATTAAATTTTCCCAAGCAACATTTTTAATGGTTTTTTGTTCCAAATTACCATGGGGCGGGGGCAGTGTTTAAGTGGGGAGGGAGGTCACTCCATAATATTCATACAAATGTTTATGCATTTGTGGTTATTGTTTTATTCTTTTTTTAATGAAATGAAGTTCAAAATATTTGAAAATCTATTGGGGGAATAAATACGAAACATACACACACACATTCCATCGCTCGCTCGCACACTTCAGAAACACTTCAAGGTCGTGCTCCTTTGATGTTGCACCACACGAACAATCATGGCATAGCTGCCGAAAGACGAGCATGATTTATGGCTGGATTGCGATGAGAGCGGGAATCGATAAACAAAAAATTTAAATTAATTATTTCAATCGATTTCTAATGGAATGGCTGTGCCGACTTCAGTAGTTCTGTGTTGACCTTGACTTGATTCAATGGCTGCAGCAGCAGCAGCGGCAGATGTGACAGTGAGGAATTATCGTTGCTTTATTGGATTGTTTATGAGCAGTTTTATTTGATGTTTCCTTTTGATATCAGAAAATTGTTGTTCTAATAAAAATTTCCAACGCATGGAATGGAAATCTCATTTATCGTCAATTGTAATAAATCTATCATGGGGTCTATTAATTATTTCAGATGGGATTCGGATTCTCATCAATTTTTTTTTTCTTGATGAAGTCATTTTGGGAACAGGTAAGATTTGATATTTGTTAGGCATGTTTCACCCAGTGATAACAACAAAAAAAATCGAGAATATAGGGTAAGTGCGCCTAAGTTCGGCATGTCCCAGTAGTCGGCAGTTTTGAAATATAAACTTAAATAACTAAGAATAGAAGTGACCAAATAATGAAATAATTGCAAAAAACATCAACACTGATCTCTGCTCTCTTTCTGTAAAAAAAAAACAATGAGCATCGATCATTTATTACGAGAGAATAACGGTTTTTGTCAGTGAGTGTCTTCCAACACGTGCGATAGTGCTGTTTGTAAAGAAAAAATTAGTGGTGGCGTCAACTTAATAATCTATGTAAGTATATTAAAATTAATACTTTTGAAATCAGAAATATTTTATAATAGTAAATAACAGTCTAAAGATCATTTTATAACTTTAAAAAATACAAATTAATCATTTTTCTGTTATATTTTTAATGCCGACATTAGGGACAGGAAAAAAAGAGATTTGCCAATAGTCGGCAGGGGTTGCCAATTACTAGAAAAATATCATTTTTGACAAATTTCACCAAAATTTGAGAGAAGTATTAAAAAATAATCCAAAAACTACTCAAATAAAAAAAATATTTTTGAGTGGATTTACACAGTATTCGACATAACTATGGTCCTTAAGTCGGCAGTCGCTTTTATTTGTGTTTTTTGACCAACTTTTCTAAGTTAAGTAGGTTTTTTAAAGAAGCTATTTGACGTTTCAGATAGCCAACATTTTTTTTCAAAGATGCCTCCAAAAGGAAAAAGATCATTTCACAAATATACGGAAAACGCCCTGAACGACGCACTAAATGCCATAAGAAGAGGCGATATATCAATTTTGGGTGCCAGTAAAAAGTATGGTGTTCCCAGGGCAACTTTGCAGGACAAACTGTCTGGTAGAGCTCCTGAAGGCCCAAGAAAGATGGGACCTCCTACAATATTAACAACTGCCGAAGAAGAGCATTTAAAAAAGTGGTGTCTAGATTTGGCCAAATGTGGATTTCCGATAAAAATTGACGAATTGTTAAACACCGTACAAAAAATTTTAAATGAGGATAAAAGAGTTACTCCTTTTAAAGACAGTCGACCTGGCAGAAAATGGTTTAACGCATTTTTAAGACGACATCCTGATTTAAGCATTCGGGAGTCCGAGGGAATTACAAAGGGGAGAGCCATAGTAACGGAGGAGACTATAAGAAAATGGTTTTCCGATTTAAAAACGTTTTTAGAAGAGCAGAATGCTACAGATATCTTGGAGGATCCATCCAGGATTTTTAATGGGGATGAAACCAGTTTTTCTATGTGCCCGAAAACTGGAAAAGTTTTAGCGCCAAAGGGTTACAGAAATGTGTATTCAATACAAAAAGGAAACGAAAAAGAAACAGTGACAGTACTATTAGTCTTTTCCGCTAATGGTAAAACTGTTAATCCAATGGTTGTTTTTCCATTTAAAAGAGTTCCCAAGGATGTAGTGAACAGTCTCCCGGAGACCTGGTTCCTCGGAAAATCGGAAACCGGATGGATGATCAGTGACGTGTTCTTTGAATACATTGCTAATTGTGTCCATAAATGGTTAGAAGAAATCAAGTCCCTAGGCCAGTTTTGCTATTTGTCGACGGTCATAAGTCTCATATGACTATGGAACTTAGTGAATTCTGTGAGAATAATAAAATTATATTGTACGCACTTCCTCCCAATACAACACATATAATGCAACCAGCGGACGTCAGTGTTTTTAAGCCGTTGAAATCTGAGTGGAAAAATACATTGAGGGAATGGCAAAATAAAACGGAAAATATTAACAAAGTCCTTTCAAAATGCACTTTTTGTCCTCTGTTGCATTCCGTGCTGTCAGCAATAGATTTGGAAGACACCATTAAGAATGGGTTCCGGAAATGTGGACTTTATCCGTTTAACCCTGAGAACGTCGATTATACAAAGTGTGTAAGAAACAATTTGGAAAGAATGACAAATAGGAGCGATGCAAATAATGGTTTACATTTAATGGACTTCGACAAAGCAATTCAAGTAATAAACCTAATAAGTTCAAGGCTTAATTCTCGGGGAATTGACGCTAACATAGTTGTTGAAGAGATTGAGTCTCTGAAAAACTCTGAAGGCGAACAAGATATTGAATTATTAGCCAACGTAACCGTGCAGCCCAGTTCATGTATAGTCAATAAAGACTGGATTTTGGAAAAAGAAACCCGGCTACGCTCTTCATCTCCATTAAATGAAAATAATGCACCGATATTGACTTTTTGTTCGTCTCCCACTACATCCAGAAATGTAGAATTGTCGTTAAAACCAACGAAAGATTCACCTAAATCATCAGTAACTAGCGCACTTATTAGAAATGTTTTAAGTCCCGTTAACTTATCCAAACCAGGTAATCTATACAAACGTGCATATATTCTGTAGTGCCCAGGTATAATGCCAGTATACACTTTTTCTTTTTCTAACTAGGTTCTTCCAAGTTTTTACAAAACGAAGAAGGGTCTGTGTCAAAATCGTTTAAAAGCCATATTCAATTCCCTAGATTGACATCAGCAGTAAAACCCAACTCGAGAATCAAGCCTCCAAGTGCAATTTCTGCACTTGCATGGAGGGAGCATATTCAAGCAGTAGAAAATGAAAAAATTGCCAAGGCAAACGCAGTACAAGAGCGAAAACTGGAACGCCAGAAACGAAAATTGGAGAAATTAGAAAAAATAAGAAAAAATAAAAGAGGAAAGAAAAGGGAAAAGCGTAGTTCTTTCAACGAAGAACTTGACAGTGATGTGGAAGACTGATACCAATGCACCTGTGAATTAACTTATTTTATTCCTAATGTTTAAGTTTAAGTTAAACCAAAATGAATTAAAAACAGTAACTAGGTTAAAAGACAAAATAAACTCCAAATATTAAATTTATTCTTTTTTTCTTTTATCTCATTTTTATTTTAATTAAAAATCCATTTACTAAAGGTAACCATACTATTTCAAATTCTAGATTAAACTGTGAATTAGTAATATATAATTGTTTTGTACTATTTGAAATAAAAAATAATATAAAAAATAATATTTTCTTTATTGAAATACAATATGCCGACTACTGGCAAATAGACATGCCGAGCATTGGAAAATGGTGCCGACTACTGGCAAAAAACCACTGTTTTAGTAAAATTGCAAATTTTACCAATTTACTAAAAACAAATTAAATTTTTGTTTATTATTTCCAAAACTAAACAAAATTTGGAATCCAAACAACTTTAGTTTTCTGCAATTGAAAGATTTTACTCAGAATATTGAAAGATTGAAAAAGCGAAAATTCTAAAAGTGCCGACTACTGGTACATTTACCCTAATTGCTATAAGTAATTTATGTAGATTATGAGACTGTTAATACTTAATTTGCAGGGAATAATTCTCATTTACTTTGTGTCATTGTGTCGTGTGTTTTTATTAATGTTTTATAAATGTTACCTCTTCAAATTACATCAACAACAATTTCAGAATGTAATAATAATAGCCATTGAGTCAGATTACTAGGCAAAAATTATTTTATTTACAAGGAATAATTCTCATTCACTTTGTGCCACTCAATTTATTCCTGTCAAAAACGACAAGTGGAATTTTGGTGTAGAATTATAGTTTACCATTACCAACAAGATTATTAAAGTCCCCATTTTATTTTATCTGGTCCACTCAATCATGTAACTCCCCCACAAAGAGTATAAATTTTAAATAATTATATCTCACATAGAATGCGAAATAAGCACCCGATTTTCTTCAAATTTCATACATACCAATATTACTACTAACATAATCTGGTGTGAAGGTGGTAGATAACGATCTACTCCTTCTTGTACCTCCCCCATAAAGCCTCAACCTTTTGAATAACCATGAAGCTCATTAAACGCATCCGATTATTTTCAAATTTGGCACATCTCAGCTTTTCTATCAACACAAGATCTGCTATGAAGATGGAATATGTCGGACTAGTCCTTTAGGTACTTTCCCCACAACGGGTCAAAATTTTAAATAATTACCTCTCACATAAAATGCAAAATAAGCATCGGATTCTCTTCAAATGTCGCACGTCCCAATATTTCTACTAAAACATGGTCTGGCGTAAAAGTGGAATATATTGGTTCCCTCCTTCTGGTACCTCTCCCACAAGGGGTCAACGGCCATAAAATGCGAAACAAACATCCGATTCTCTTTAAATTTAACACGTCATAATAAGATCTGGTTTGAAGATAATTGTTATCCGCCCACCATCTGATACCTGCCCCACGAAGTATCGTAATTTTAAATTTTTTTTCTTTCATACTTGCGATTCAGCGATTTTTTTAAACTTGGTATATCCAACTATTTCTCTCAACTATATCATGTAAAAATGGAAGTTTTCGCCCACTCTACCACTTCAATAAAACTTAGATCCCATAATCACCTACAAGATCGCTAAAAGTATTCTCTGACTAAGCAGACCACCCTGCTTACTATACTCTTCTCTATAAACTCTTACTTCTCTGTCATTATCGCTCCGGTCACAAAACAACTTTATTCTTCTTGGTATCAAAGGTTCGAGTGAAACAGTTGCCGACTCCTGTGTAACTGGGCATCCTTAAGTCAAACCAAACCAAGTGGTTTCTGGCCAGGAATCTTGAATTTTTTAAATAATACTTTTCAAGACTTTCTTTATCCTGATTTTTTCAATTTCCAGGACTTCCTGTTCAGGAAAAGGTGATTTGAAAAAAAGGTATTTTTCAAGTCAGGACCAAGAATTGTGAATTTGTTTAAAAATGTTTTCAAGGACTTCCATGCCATGGTTTAAAAAAATATTTTTCATGGAATTTTAAGTATATTTTTTCCGGAACTTCCCTAGTCAAGAATCATTCATTTTTTTAGAAAAAGTTTTCAGCCTTTTTGACAAAAACAAAAAATAGGAATTAAGAAAGAACAGCGTGGCTTGTTTGTTCGGGATACCGCAGTATTTTGTTGTTGCAAAATGGTCAGGCTTTATCCCTTTTTTGTTGTTTTTATAAAACAACGTTTGTTTATTAGTGGAGAACGATGGTAATGTTTACCAGGGGGTAAGGCAGGGAATACCTAGGTTTCGGAAAGAGCCACCAATCCTCATCAGTTCCCTTGTTTTTTGTCTGGGATATTCTCCCCAGAAGTTATTTTAAAAATAACTTCTATGACAAAAAGCATTTTTTACCCAAGTGACGAGATCGTAAGCTCAATAGAAGAGGAACCAAAGAATTAAATAAAACTAAAATTCTTTTGGAAAGTCTTCTAAATCTTACAACCGCACTTATAAACATATACATCTTTCTCCACTGGTTATGCTTTCGTTCAACCTGAACGAAGTAGAATAGAAGACTTTCCAAAAGAATTTTAGTTTTATTTAATTCAGAAATTTCCTGGTCATAAATAGGAAATTTTTAAACTATACTTTCCGGGACAATCTGGCCAAAAATCATGGGTTTCTTAAAAATATATTTCCTGTAGGTTTCTGTACAACAATCGTGAATTTCTTCATCTAGGATTTCTTGGCGAAGAATTTTTGATTTAAAAAAATATTTTGAAGGACGTAATATAAAGTATTTTAAAAAATATTCAATGATTTTCAGGAGAATAGCATCCTTGCCATGAATCGTGGTATTTTTGAAAAATATTTTATAAGATTTTTTGATAATAATTGTAATAATAATCGTGAATTTTTTGTTAAATATATTCCAAGCCATTCTTTCCGGACTGCCTGGTGTTTTATAGGTTTTTCAAAAAAAAATGTAGATGAGTTTCTGATAAAGATTTCTGGACTTTATATATTTCTGGACTTTATATTTATATTTTACAAGACTTTCCGGCCAAGAATCGTGGATTTAAAAATCTAAAATTCGCAGGGTTTCGTGGTCAAAGTAAAGTGTTTTTTTTTTTCAGGAATTCCTAGCTAAGAGTCAAGAATCGCAGATTTTTAAAATAATATTTTCAGAATTTGGATTAAAGAATCGTGGAATTCACAAAAAGTATATTTCCCACTAAAAAATCGTAGATTTTAAAAAAGGTGCCAGGACTTCCATGCCAAAAATCGTGGTTTATAAATATTTTCGTAAATTCCTAGAATTACGGACTTTTGAAAAGAAATTTTTGCTAAGTCTTACTGAACAAAAATCTTGGTCCTTAATCAACATGTCTTCAGGGCACCCCATATTTGTTTGCACATATTCCTGACTTTATATCTATCTATATATATAAAAGAAAGTTGTGTTAGTTACTACGCTTATAACTTAAGAACCGCTGGACTGATTTTAACGATTCAAACAAATTCGGAATTTTCTCCTCTCCGAAAAGGATAATATCCAAAAAATCGCGTAAAAATGTGATATTTTAACATTTTCATTTTGACTTTTGAAATGTACAATAGTAATGTTTTATTTTGCATGATTTTTTTCCATTTTTACTTACTTTTTTCTAATGTACATTTGTAGTGTTTTTTATATATTTTTTTTTTTTAATTCAAATATTAATACCAATTTATTTAATTGACTTGATTTCTTGAGAAATGAAATTGATGGCGAGTTACATGGAAGCGTAGTACCGAATTATGTGGTGGCGAAACGGAATAGATGATGTCGAAATAATTTAATGGAATCGAATTTTAAAATAGAAGTACATTCTATTGACAAACTATATAAGGATCTTTAAACATTTGCTGTAAAAAAATCAGCGAACAAGTTGAAGATTTTTTCAATGTGTTATTCTTCTTTTGTCAATTTTTTTTTCAATTTGTATTATCTAATTGAATTCAGTAAATTTTTTGCGAACAAAATAAAGAATAATTTTTCACTATATACAAATTTTCACCAAAAAATGAAATAAGTGGGAAATACGATGTCAACTGACATCTACCTTTCAACTCCAGGGCCGACATCGTGGTTCAGCTGGAAGATGCGAACACATTTGAACAAACAAAAATTGCCGAAAAAGCCTAATGGGGATCATTTCAAAGCGTGGAACTACTTCTTTCCTGTCACAATAATCCGTCCAATGTACAATCAGAAAAATACCAAATATAAAGGGTGGAAAATAGTAGAGCGAATGGGACTTTTAGTAAGATAAAGATTTCTATCCTTCCAGAAATTCTTCCCAAACATTCAAGATAGGTCATGATATCGATCATAACTCACGGATAAGGGACAACCCGATTTCATATTTATATGACCATCGTATGATTTAAGCTATTTTTGGTGTCTTGGTCACTTTTTTAATATTTTAGCCATTATTTGGCATTTTTGTTTCTAAGGAGGTAGAGAACCTATTCGCATAAAGTTTGAAATTTTCAGAGTAGGGCCCATTTTGGTCTTGACCACATTCATTAATTGACTTGGCTAAAGGTTGTATTTATGCTACTCTTGGGTAGGGAACCATCATACAGATAATTGCCACATAGGAATTTATTTAAGTAAAGTCCCCACATTGGCGTATTCCCAAGTCCACTTTCACATCTAATTGGTGGTCAGAAAAAAAATGTTGTTTTCTATTGAATTTGTAACCCCCAAGAGAATATTGGTTGGGCCACGTTTTGGTATAACCCTTATATAAATGTATCCCTGACCTGACAGCTGTGACCGTGGTCTTGGCCACGTTTTTCAACTGATTTGGCCATTATTTGCTGTATTTAGGCTACTTTGTGAGTAGAGAACCATCTTACAGAAAAATGTCAACATACGTAAATATTTTGGTACAGTCACCATATAGTCCCCAGGCCCGCCGATCTATAGTGATGTTTACCGATTGGCGGATAACAACGCGGGTATTGTTTAATCGTTATTGAATTTTACCATGAACAAGAACATAGACTTTTGGGGACTCTAATGCGCAATTTGAGGTGCTATGGTAATGGGTGTAAAAGCGTAATTAACTTTGACTATTCAGAAATTATTTTGCCCTCCTTCCATAGTTATTTATTTCTATTTAGTCGAATCAATATTTATATTAAAATTTGTTCACCTTTATGAGCTAGATTTGTGAAATATTATGCTATGCAAAATTTGCATTAAAGACTAAAACTACGGGCCGGCAACGCGGACCGGGCCAGCTAGTATCATATAAATCAAAATGTACCTCATCGAAATAACGGTCTTACAGTTTGGAGGAAAACTAATTCAGGAATTTATAGTGGATTTAGCAATATCTGTCCATCCTTCCATGCGTTAGGCTGGTGATCACAAAAAATTCGCGAAGAAAGGATTCACTTTAGTCCAAATTTAACATTTCCTAACGTATATATCAAAATTATATCGACTTC